TGATACATACAATGTACATTGGGTTTTCTCACTTGAAGCCTATGACTAAAAGAGATGCTTTATTACATACTATTATACCTCTTGGAAACATAACTAAACCAAAGTTGATAGTTAATTTCATGTAGCAGGGAAGTGGGATGATATCTTTTTAAATAAGTAAATCCATTTAATTGTACAGTATGCTACACAGTTCCTAGTACATATCCTTTTGTGCCTTGAAAATTTTCTTTCAAAGCATTTCCTTCCCAAATGAGGCCCACTCACTTCCTTAAAATATGTAATACTCTATTATATTAGTGGTCCAAAAGAAGTTGTAGTTTTTCATAGTGGTATACAAATATTATATTGAAGTAATGCATATATACAAAAGCATATAGAATAATATAGCAACAAATATTTGTTGGTGAATACTTCTTGGGAAAATATTTTATAGTAATGTACTTTAAGTTTGTTTAATTAATTGTACTCTTGATGACCTTCCTTACAAAGTGAACAAAAGAATTTTTAAATACATTACAAGGTAAGAATGAAATGTCTTAATTTCAACTTGTTTGGCTAAAGTTAAGAGTTACTAAAAGTCGTTGTGTTTGTAATAAGGCAAAAAATAATTTGAGTTACATGCAAATGAACTTTTGCACTGAACTCTCTGAAAATATCTATATAAAATCATGTGATTCTTTATAATTACTAAGAAACAGTTATGATAAGTACAGATGATGCACTATATGCTAATGGAAACTATAAATGAGAAAAATGTTTTCAAAATTCTTTTATAGAAATATACAAATAGGTCTTATTATGCAGGTAAAAAGACTCATTTATATTATGTAATGCTTTGCCAAAATGTTAGGCTCCATTGAATTGATTCAATTCCTATTTTATCAATATTTTGTGATAGATAACCTTAGTCTTACATTTTTTGCTTGGTGTAGTAGAAATAGAGGAGTTTCTCCTCTGCTAACTGCTCATATATGTAACCATAATAAAGATATATAGTTAGGCACCCACTATAAGTGATATAAGGGGAAGAAACTTTATAAGCCTGATAGAAAACTGCCACCATTACTGTTTGAAAATGAATACAGGTGTGATTTTTCTAAAATACTGAAAACTAACAGTATTCAAAATTTGAAAGCAATTAAGAAGTCCGTGGTTTCTTGGCCCACTTGACCCATGGATAGTGAATATGGATCATATTAAGGTCTTTATTATACTCAATTATTTTAAAAAACTCTAATGAAAAATTAATACTATGGAGAGTTATTCTATATATTTAAATATATGTATGTATATTCAAATATATAAATATATGCACATATATTAAATATATCTTTCATTTGTGATTATTATCGATGGAAAGAGTAGTTATATCTTTTCTACTCACTGGTTTTAAGCAAATTATTTATGAAAATTACAAAGATGGCAGGTGAGGAATGTTTGTTTACCTAATATCTATTTCAGAATGTTTTCACTTTAGATTTATCAAATAAAATGGAACCTGTACAATAACATAAAGTAACTTGTTTGTATCTAAAATGTGTTAAGTATTTGTGAAAGTTCAAGTAGGAAATGTGTAGGAAGGCTTTTTAACTTAGCTGTATATTTTTGTCAGGAAGTTATTCTCATGTGAATACTTATGTGGGAACTAATAAGCACCATTCTAATTAACACACACACACACACACACACACACACACACACACACCCCAAAAGGACTTCCTAATATGAACTAGCAATGATGGCACTTCAACATAATTTGACCTCCAGTTGATGCAGATTTCTGTTTCAAATTAGACTTTCTTCCATATAAATAGCGTTTTCTAAGTACTTGTTTTAAACATAATTCCATAATGCATTCATCCCATCTTTATAATGAGGTTTTAATCGTATTACTTTTTCTTAATGTGGACAGTACCAAATGAACAAAATAAATATTTTGTAAAAATTGTATCTCACTACACAATTTAGATCCTTACCTAAGCCATCCTCACACCTCTTTATCATTATTGCAATCTACAAAGATAAATGTTTCTTTTCAAAGTAAATGATGTTTTGAAAATATTTCCTCAAATAGTACAACTTTCCCATCACATGTAATTACTAAATTTATTGGATTTCCATTGTACATTTTTTGTAATCAAAAATGCAAAGTATTTAATGTTCATCTGAAGATAAAGAGTAAACAGGAAAACTAAAAATAAATAATATATTAAACACATCTTCCTTAATAAAAATATTTAGCAATATTTACTCTAGAATAAGAGATACCACTTTTAGTCCACAAAGAAAAACTAGAATTACTCTGACATAATTATGATAGCCAACATCATTATATGATAGATTTAGTAATCTACTTGTATCTATCCCTTGTGGACAATGAGATGTTGTTGGCTTCTCATCCCACTACATTAAAATAGTACTTTTTTATTGAAGTATATTTTCCTGAGATACTTTATGTTAAGGGGAAATTTTACTTTGATCTTATAGCTAGTTTGCTAATACAATCAATGTTGAATGCTCCTAGTTTATATGTGCCAAGATTCAACAAAGCACACCAACTTCTTAAAATGGGAAAATACATAGGCTTTAAAAAAAAATTTAGTTGTAAATAGACACAATATTTTAATTTTATTTATTTATTTAATGTGGTTCTGAGGATCAAACCCAGTGTCTGGCACATGCTAGGAAAGCAATTTACCACTAAGCCACAAACCCAGCCCATACATGGGCTTTTTAATGTCATGTTCTAAAAGTTTCTGATGAGCTAGTCATGTTATTAAGAGTGGGGGGTTTTGGAATATAGAATGACAGGGTTTGGGAATTAAACAGGAAATGATTAAGACTTATATTAGGGTTTAAGTAGGATAGTGTCCATATTGTCAATTGGTTCAGTTTTAAAAGTGGAGAGCTCTCTTTGCAATAGTTACTTGAGTAATGGTTCAAAGAGAAAGGCATAATAATTGTTTCACCTGTTACGCAGGTGAAACACTTTTAGTAGGAGATACTGTACTATCTAGTCTTGAACCTACTGATCATAATATCCAGATCTTATCTAGGATCCAAGGTTTTAAGATACCCTTCTCAGTGAGTTCCAAATTCACATGCTGCCTCTTTTTGAAGGGTAAGGTGGGGTTATACAAAGTTGGGAAATTGGGAAAATTCTGATGATAGTCTATGGTTTCAATCTAGTCCTTCATTTTTTGTAAATGAAATCTTACTGATTTTAAAGAACTTGATTCTATGTCTAGCTAGCTTTTTTTTGGGGGGGGGGTTCTCACAAGAGGTTCTCAAAGATCTGAACAAGAAGATTCTTTGTTCCTCTGCCTGCTATATATCAACAAATTATTTAAAAGATATTTAATATTTGCTCCAAATTAAACCAAATGGAGAAGGCATCAAATCAACCAATTGGTAAGTGGAAGAAGGAGGAAAATATAAATAAAAAACGATTTGTCAGGAAATTATATAATTATTGAACTGGGAGAGGGCTACATAGAGGCTAATTATACTCTTCTACAAGTTTGCATATTTGTGTCTTTAAGGGCAGTTCCAGGTTCCAACTGGTAATTGTCTTGTATAAAACACAAGAAACTGAATATAAAGGGCCTTCTTAAATAATTATTCCTAACTACCCTCTCTGTCATGCCCTGGGCCTTTTAGATGTGACAATGGGATAAACCCATTGATATATAATGCCATGAACTCTTCTGGAAAAATGATTTTTCAGTAATTTTCATCTTTTCTTTCTTGTGAAGGTACTTTAATTTGCAGATCTACATTTTTAGATGGAATCTGCGTGGTACATAGGAAAACCTTTTGCCAGTAAAAACCTGTACATTTAATATAATCTTTAATTTGTGACACTGACTTAATTTGTATGTTTTATTTTTCTTGGGCTTAAGCTTTCTAGGTCTGATTTATAAATAAAATTAAATCCAATCCACCTTTCTCCAGATCCACTGTAACCATGAACTATGGGAATAATTTAGCATGGCTCTCTGCTCCCTTCAGAAACACTATATTTTCACACAGCCTACAGAGTGATTATTCAAAATGTAAATCAAATCTATTACATCCTCCTTGAAACCTCCAAAAGGCTTCCTACTTCAACCTCCTCACAAGTCCCTTCTCCTATCATTTCCTCTTACTCATCATTATTTAACCAAATTTGCTGTCACATGATTTGCATTTTTTTTTATCTCTGCCTTGCTCTTCAATAAGATCTTCATGTTACAGTTTACCTCTTGCTACTCAAATGACATGTACTCAGTAAGGAATGCCTCTGTTCACTCACCCATAGTAATCAATTATATTGGATGCTTTTCTAATACCTTATTTTTCATTTGGTGGCAACGTAAAGGAGCTTTCTAGAATTTCACAATTGTAGGCCCCACAATTAAACTACAATATGAATTTTAATAAGCTACCTAGGTGAATCAATAGACATAAAAATTGAGAACACTGGTGTAACATGTAAAAGTAAATGATTTCTTCCTTTCAGTTAATGGTTATTAAAGAATAATAATCCAATTGACAGTTACAACTAAGAGTGATATATCTAGAATTATTAGCATTCTATTAACTTTGGCCTAGTTAGAACACAGCAAGTAATTTTGTACTCATTTTCAGAAATTATTCCCAAATACTTGAATCAATACTTTCTTTTTCCCATGTACATTAGGAATATAAATAGATATATTCTTATCTCAGAACTATGTCATGTAAACAGGTTAAGAATCTTTAGTTTCTACTAAATCTCAAGACTCTAAAATGGGCAACTATATAGCACTTCATTATGATTTTAACAAATAACATACATTCTTCAGGAATAAACCTGCCACCAGAATTGTTTAAATTCCTAGCTCAAACTATTATTAATTCACAAAACTCAATAAGATGATTAAAAAGTCCAAATTGCCTAAGATAAATATTAAGCTAAAAGGCTTTTAATAAGGAATGAACATTACAACTCAATTTTAAATAAGCTCATAAAAACCTAAAAGTGCAATAAATGCTTTTTATTGTATGCTCATTTCAATGAGTAACATTTAGAAATAATAATCCCACATAACAGTGACAATCTTATTTTACAGCGTGTACATCATTTACAGCCACATAACACACAATTTTAGATTTTCCAAATTTAATATTCTGAAGTTAAGAAAGATTAACAAAAATATTCTCAAGTAACTGATTCTTATCTGGTGCAAAAAAAAGAAGAAAAGTGAACATTATTTGAAACACAAAGCCACAATATAGCATGAAGTAAAATTACATTTTAATTATGTTGAAGAGCTGAATGTAAACATGAAGCAACTAAAACTTAAAAGTACACATCATATGCATTACATTTATGAACAGGGTTTTCATTAAAATTTCCCTAAACCAGCTTTTAATATAAGCGCCATTTTGATTTGCAGCATGCTAACACAAAGCGTTGTTAAAGGGATGCATATTTTAAATTTATACACTGTAAACTGAATATCCACCTCCAAACTCTATTGGCAGCATATTGTTCTGTTAAATACCACACAAATACTGCCTCATATTGAAAACGCATGTTAATAACATGGTATATAGTTTTTTTTAAATCAAAAATTTCAATAATGGCATAAAATTGCACCTTTAAACATTAAAGCAAGTAAGACTAGAATAATCATACTTGCTAAGACGCCCTAAAAAAACCTCTAAACATTATATTTAAGAAAAGTGTTCTCTCAGTTTAATCTTTAGATCATTAAGAAATATAGTGCTGATTTTGTTTGCAACACTACAGTTGCATCCATTTTAGAAAGCCACATTTGACTCAAATATACTTTTGTCATATATGCCATACAGAACAATAAACTTGAACATCAGAAAAAAAGGGAAGTTTAGTCCTTAGACTTTACCCTAGATTTCAGCACAGAATGCTGTATTTTAAACATCCTATCCTGTGATAAAATATTAGCTGCTCTGAAATTCTTTTAATAGTACTGAATCAATCTAACCTGTTTTTCAGTGAAATTTATTTGAATGAATACACAAAACTTTTTCCTTTTCTGGAATTCAATTTCCAGGTACAATATAAAAGGCTCAATGACTAAATGACTGATGGATGACTGTATTTTATTTCCCTACCCCATTTCTAAAATTGCATAAAAGTGAGGCTTGCTTGCTAAAGCAAAGCATTGCTAAAACTCCTCAAAGATGTATTCTCTTTTCAGAAACATTTGTCTCAGTATGATCAGCCAATAAGGTATTTGTCTTTACTTTTCCCCTTTGTAATTTAATTATGCATATAATACTATTAAATAGACATTTAAGTTTTTGCTAAAACAATTCTAAATTCATTATGTAATTTTCAAAGGGCTATGAGATTCCCCTGTCAATTCAAATATTTTAAGATCTTTAATACAAAGAATGTAAAGTTGTGGTTTAATATCAAGCTTTGAAACCAGTTAAAACAGATTTTCCTCCAAAGTGGCATATCTTATTTTGTAAATAGCTTCTTTCTTTATATTGATATAATTATATAAGAGCCTCTTTGTGGTGCCTCATAATATGCTGATTTTTTTCTGATGGTCTTCGAAATCCTTTCTTGCAGAATTCACACCTGTGTGGATAGTCTTTTGTATGAATTGAGATCACATGTCGTTTAAAGCCAGATGCATCTGTAGTGCTGTATTCACAATACTCACATTGGTAAATCTTCCTTCCAGTATGGGTCTTCATATGCTTTTTGAGCTCATTTTGCTGTCTGAACCCTCTCTTGCACCTTTTACATTTCAATGACTGATCCTTAGTATGAACTGAAAGGATATGACCACTAAGAATGAATGGATCTGATGTCTTAAAGTCACAGTGCCTACACTGATGAATCTTCCTACCCTTATGAATATCACTATGCTTTTTGAGCTCAGAAGGACGATGAAAACCTTTATCACAGACCTCACATTTGTGAGGAAAATCCTTGGTATGGACAGATATGATGTGCCGCTTAAGGTCACTTGAGTTGGTGCTCTTATGATCACAATGAGGACACTGGTGTGTCTTATGTCCTTGAAACAAATCCAGATGGCGTTGAAGCTCCCTTTCATCACCAAATGCTTGGGGACAATGCTCACATTTATATGGCAAATTGTTTCCATGTTTAGACTTAATGTGAGTTTTCAGATTTGATTGATCTGCACACCTGAAGACACAATACTGACATTGATATGGCTTCTCACCAGTATGGGTTCTCATATGTTTCTTGAGTTCAGAAGGATGGCGAAAACCCTTCCCGCATTCAACACAAACATGAGGAAAATTCTTGCTGTGAACAGCCAGCAAATGTCTGTTCAACAGTCCTTGTTCGGCAGTTTCATAGTCACAGTATTTGCACTTGTGCATCTTCGGCTCCTTGTCTCTTAAAATAAGCTTATTTGAACTCAGTGGACTAGCCTCTCTGTATCTTCTCGTGTATTCTGTAAATTCATGTGTTTTGTCAACTTTATTTATAAGCTTATGGCTTTCTAAGTGGTTATGGAAACTTACTTTCTTGTTAGTTGTAAAGTCACAATCTGTACACTGATATTTTTTTCTCATCAAATGATCAGGATGATTCTTCATGTGTCTTTTTAAGAATCCCCTGGATTTAAACTTTTTTGTGCAAATATGGCAAGGGTATACTGTCAGGGGCTGTCCATCAGGACCTATTATAACAGCTAGGTAAAAAAAAACAAAGGAAATTTGACATTTGGTCAGACTGTTTTAAAGGATTTTACAACAAAGGTGACAAAACTAGCTAATATTCACTATGTGAAAACTCTATTAGTTGAATAAAATCCTACAAGATAAAATGCAAATGAAAAGAAATTTATGGTAAAGTAGTTCACTGGAAAGAAATGAGTGGCACATTTTACTATAGACCACTCACCTGTCAAAATGCTACCATCATATATATATATATATATATATATATATATATATATATATTGAAAACCAGAATTTGACAACCTTTAATTAAATCAACTTGAAAATTATCTTTAAAAGGAGCAGACAAGCATAGTTTTATTACATATCAGTCTCACACTGTAAAAAACAATTATCTATATAATACACAAACAGGTACGTGGGAAGTATGACTACCTGTAAGCAACAGATTTTTTTCCTTTGGTTATAAAAAATAATTGCACATCTCCAATTATTATGATATTCATAAAGCGGAATATTTACCTGTTTGCCACTGCCTTGTTTCTCCCTTTCTCCTCTTCTTGGATTTCTGTTTAAGTACTTTGTTTGTATTAATGCTATCACAAATTTGAAGGTACTGTGCTGCTGTACTACTTCTGTTTTCTAATGTTGAATCCAAAGTATTTCCTGGAAAAAAATCAATACACTGTTAAAACACATAGCATACACTTTTTTGGTTTTGTTTACAAATGTCATTTTGTTTACAAATGACATGGTACCAAGTTGCCTTTGCAGTAGTGAATTTCACATTCTCATTCTCTTTTTTTCCTCTCTCACAGTTGTATACATGTAAACACTTTGAATAGGATATCACATGAAATTAATGTCAAAATATATCACTTTAATCATCCCAAAAGAAGAAACTGAGGAGATACATGTAACATAAGAAACTGAATTTTAGGACCCTGTTAAAAATCTTGTCATCAGACCAATTTCTCACCAAAGGTAGCTAATAAAATCATAGTGATTTAGCAAGAAATATACATATATCAGTGAAGGAATATAATCATGGTAACTTTATGTAATGCATGAAAAATTAAACCTCTTATATATGTGCTTTAGAATCTTATACTTGATGTGATGGGTATTAAGGTAGGTTTTAGAGATTTAAATAACTGTGGCAGGCAATTTGCCACAATTTCGGTGGAATCAGTGCATAGGGAATAAAATCCTTAATACAACTTCAATTCTCACAAATCTATTGTAGTGCTATGCAATTTAATTTAAAACTGTAGATCTATACAACTCTCAGGTTAGCTTGTATACTGCAATATACAAATCTCATCAATTTCTGTGAAATCTACATTTAAGTTTAGATAGTCAAATTCTTCCCAAAGGTAGAAACAGAACAATGAAATAGTTTGTCATGAGGAAAAGCCACCTTGAGAAAGAAAAAAAAATGAACCACAAAATACTACTTAGAGTGAATTAAAACTAAGAAAAAAAAATTGTGCTGACACATGGATTTTATATAACTGTTATAAGTTGATCTCTCTAGCTCTCTCTGTTTGCCATCTAACTTAAGAAAACAGTTCCAATCAAGAAAGACATTAACAAATGACTGATATCATGAAAACACTTTTACTTTTCTGCCCAAATAATTTGTATTTTATAATTTTTCCACAGCAGCCTTTTTATGGCCAGTGTGGTAAACTCTGTATCTTGAGGGAATGAAATGCATTCACTGATTAACTCCCATTATATCCATATGTAAATTAATTTCCCAAAGAAGCAAATTCCTATGTAACTATATTAGGTATGACCAAGCAAGTAATAATCCAACAAATGTTTCTGCAGATTCAAACTATTCTTTACTTACCAAGCAGTATATAAAGCCAGATATTTAACTTATATCTTATATAAAATGTTCTCTCACCTGATGCTTGACAATCTTCATACCTTCGGGAAACTCTTCTTTCATCTCCTAAAGAAAAAGACTAATTACTAACTAATATGCTGATTATAGTGATTACTAGAGATCACATTTTAATCTATTAAAATCTTACTTTGCCCATCATTCCTCGGATTAAAAAATATTTTGCTAAATTCTTCCACTCTTTTGGATTAGGTAATTTTGCACACTGAAAATAAAGGCTGCTGTCAGCATTCTTGGAATTGTTTATACTTAGGACAGTTTTACTTTTTAAATGTAAACTATGTAACTATTTCTTCAAAGTACTTCTAGCCCTGGAGATGTTCAATAATGACTCTAGAATGAATGTACCTTTGGGTGAACCAAGTTTAGGTAAATTAATGCATTTGAACACCAATATTTTTCAAAGTACACAGTATACCTGGACTTTCTTGTACATTACACAGGAATGAGATAAAACAGACAGAAGGGGAAGAAAATAACTTGATAAATTTACCTTCCATGACATACTTCTAAAAGAGCACACCTGAATTTGTTGCTTTTCAGAACCCCAACATCTTATCTGTGGTGTTAATAACTGAAATGAATTTTTCCAAAAGGGAAAAGATTAATTTTTCAAAGGGTACTCCTATTTTAGGAAAATAAAATGTTTTATGGCTCTTATACATGTAGTATTTAAAATAGATGGTACTGAAAATGTATTAAGCAAAGTTCACTTCAAATAGTACAAAATATGTGATAGAAAAAACATGTAAAAAGTAACTAGAGGGGGCTGAGGTTGTGGCTCAGTGGTAGAGTGCTCGCTTAGCATGCATGAGGCACTGGATTCGAGCACCACATAAAAATAAAATAAAGTTATTGTGTCCACCTAAAAAAACTAAAAAAAAAAACATTACAAAAAGTAACTAGAGATGAATCAGTCCACACAAAACATTTTATTATATTAGCCAACTCACAGTGGCATTAGCACAGCATATTTAATGGCCAAACGGCTGATTAAATACATATGTTATGTACTTATCAGGTGAAAAAATGCCAGTGTCCTACCATATGCCGCAGCCCAGACAACAGGGACAATTGTTTTATTAACATCAGAGTCCTCAAGCTGAATCTCAGGGAGAGAAGTTCCTTCCTCTTCCCCTACAATGACTTCCATGTAAACTTCATCTGCTATTTCAGCGCAACCTAAATTTTAGAAATAATTCCTTGTTTATAACCCCAAATATTTAATAAATGGGTAAAAATTCTAAACAATTTAAACCTTTCAACTTTCAAGATTTCAGTTTGGTTAATCTAAAATTTTATAAATTTAGTGTAGGTTTATATTAGGCACTTTTGGAGGCTAATGCCACTAGGAGACGATAATTTATAAAAATTCTTATTCTCCTCTCAGATCCAAGTCTTCTGAAAATGGCTTTTTAATTTTATAAAATGTGTGCATGAAATACATTGACTGATTTTATGGCCCATTGGGAATTACAAATTTATAAAAGGAATTGTATCCAATAAATTTACCTGATAGTACTTCAAACTCAGACTAAGTTTCCCATAGAATCAACATTAGAAAGTAATTTACACTATCTCATATACTATGTTCAATATTACATGTAATAAAAAATAATCAAAATACTGGTAATTGAAAACTTCTACAAAAATGGTTATATATGTATATGTAAATGCATACATATGTATTTATTAAATGCTATTGCTCAAAGACATGTGGACACACTTCAAGAAGCTGAGTTTTAAGAGAGTACTGAGGAGGAAAATGATTGAGGCTCATTTAAAAAAAACATTGTGGTTAAAAATATTTAAATATAGTGCCACTGTATGTACTTTATGTGAAAGCATCTGTTTACATGTAACCTGTTAAATAGAAAGCTGACTTGAATTTATGCTTTTCTTTGATTCACACACTGGGATCTTCTATTTACTATAGAAGGATGTGAAAATAACTTTAGGAAAAAGTGTCCTTCCTTCTCCAAGTTTCTCTTCTCTCCATTTACCAGAAAAGAGACTCTGGTTTGTTTCCCACATCCCCCTGGCACTCTGGTATCAGCCAACCTAAACCTTAGTCTCCCGCCTCCTACTGTGCCCCTTTGTTAATAATACAGTAATAAAGGATTCAGAAACCATATGGAAATTATTTCATTGAACTCTTTCATCTCTATACAAATCTTCTCCACTCATTTGTTTTGATATTTCAGCTGTGATATACTATTCATGTAAGAGGATAGAATTCTTGTCTTCTAGAGAAGGAAATGAAAGGAATAGCTATCAGAATGCAGCTTAGGTAAAACCGCAGCATTGTCAGGGTAATGCTGTGAAATGAAGGATCTTGCCCTACTCGAACAAAACAATAGTTTTTTTTTTTTTTTCTTAACATGTCAAAGAGACAGAAGTAGCCTTAGAGAAGGGCTGTATACTGAGGTGTGGATAAAGTATGCAGAGAGTAAAATGTGTTTAGAAAGCATGACAGGAAAGGAAACCTGAGGATATTTTTTTTTTTTATCCTGTGGTACTTTGCCCCAAGAAATCTTAAGGAATAACTTCTTAGACACCATCAACATCATTTAAAAAATCAAGATCTTAGCAGATTAACTTGGATGAATACTTACATAGCTAACCTCTAAGTGACAGAAAGAGAAAACCAGTTAGCCCTTCCCCTGCTAAATCCAGAGACAAACCAATAGTGCTCAAGGCCATATGGAAAGAACACTGGTAGTACAATTAAATAGACAGGAGTTCAAATCCTACCTTCTAAACTTACTATTGGAATGGTCTTGGGCAAATTATTTTCCCTCAGTCTTTCTTCCTTGCATAAAATAAAGATAACACCATCTACCTCAGAGATGAGTTATGAGAATAAAATGAGAAAATGTATATGTAACATATTCAATAACATATAACATTGATATTCAACTCTCTATATATTTTTGAGCTTCATTAAGTCAGGAACTGTATACTGCTTATCTCTGTATTTCTAGTATATTAACTTAGATATATTTCATGTTTGTGGATGTGAACGATACATGTATGCATGTATTTTCAGCAAATGGTCAGGCTTATTTTAATAAATTTTAATAAATTTAATAAATTTCTTATACAGTGCTTCTATCTCTGAGATTGCTTGTTTTTTTTTTTTTTAATCCATGATCCCTACTTATGTGTTACTACAGTGCCCTTTTTTCTTACTGATATCATCTTCTTCCTGAGAAGAATCTTTAACTGCCATGTAAACCATCTTCTCCCGCTGCATTCGGCTCTGGTCAAGCACTCCGGCTACAGAATGTCCACTGGTGTACTCACTTTCTGTGACAATTTCTGTTCCACCTTAAAAATTAAAACACATATCCAAATAGAGAAGTATCATGGGAATAACTCCCTAAATTAATAAAGAGAATATACAAGAACTATTTACCTTTAGAAAAATACATTTTTTTAAGTTCCAAAATAAACTTCAAAGTGCGAAGAAAATTGTCATAAATTACACTTTAATTTTCTGCTATCAGAGAAATAACAATTACTAACAAATCACACTTATATTCCAAATATCATTTATTTTTTTACATATATTTGCCTATTTATTCCTTACAATAGCCCAATTAGGTAGTTCCTATCATTATGGCCATTTTAATGAGGAAACAAGAGTCAGATGGAGGTTATGTAACTCAAGGTGGCTCAGCTAAATGTCAGAACTAAGATTAAATCCCAAAGATCCTGCCTATAGAATTCATGATATTAAATACTCATTTTAATTTCTTACTCTAAATTCTCATCACTCATTTTGATATTTTCAGCTATAATACTCATGTTTGAAACTCTAAGAACATATTTTGTATTCTTGCTTTATATTCATATATACTATTTTAAAATACACCACCCAAGAAAACTATTAAAATCTGTCCTTTGAGGACAATTTCAGAATAGTCCACATAAAAAGTAAGAATAAATCTAATTCATATAATAGCAATAATCTAAAATTAGTCTTTGTACCTATTTCAACATCATCTTCAGCTTCTGCTTTAAATATATATACTTTTATAACTTCTGAACCAAACCCATCTTCTTTAACATCTTCTTGTGAACCATCACTGCCGATTTTTAATGGTGTGTTTCCCATATGCTCTAATTTCTCCCCAACATCATCCACTGTAAAATATAAAGAGGAAATCATTTCAGTCAAAAAGTACTACTGATATTTAGGGTGTGCTAAGCCTAAACGCAACATTAAATAATGTATTTTAACCATGTATCTACTCTATTCATTTGATGACCTATTATGCAGCCACAAAGTGTTCTTTCACAGGAAAATAGTACACAAGATCGGATACACTACATGATCACAATTATATTTAAAAAAAACTATTCACAGATATTAATTTATGTAAGGAAATATTTCATAACTATATAGCTTTAATTAAAATAGCTTGTGGAAAAGACTGAATAATCTTTTATCACCAAAATCAGTAACAGAAAAATTTATTAAACATATAAGTCATAAAATAAGGCCCATAAACAACTCCCAAATTAAACAGCAGTTGTTTATAAAATAAAATAGCATATGAAATCTAGGATTTTAAAAAACGGAAGAAACCGAACATATCAAAAATTTTATAAAAGAAGCTTTGATAAATCCTTATAACAATAAATTCTTAGTAAATACTCTAATTTCTACTGAGTCAATGGGATACAAACCACAAATTTTTTGTTAAGTCTAATTTTAGCAACGTATGCTTTATTTCAAAGCCACATGCAAAGGAAATAGCTAAATTGGGTACTTTCACCTCCTTTTCCTTATTAAAAACTTTATAATTCGGTACATATGAAAAAAATAAATAGTATACAAAGGTAAAGCAACAGATTTAAGACTTCTACTTACATTTCAAGTATACATATTAAATGTTATTTTCTGCTCTACAGTTTTTAAGGATAACATTTAGTTTCATATGAATAGAATATATGAACTATGCAATAAATAGATTATATTAATATTTTTTTCCTATGGCCATAAGTAATTGAATTCAAGCAATATGTTCTCCCTAATTATTATATGCCTACCATTTTTAATTTTGATACTATTCCTATAAAAACTAAAATGTATGCTAAATTTAAAATCTGATATATATGCATATATATGTATGTGCATACACATATCACAGTACTGCATATGAAACATAAGAAACATCAAATTCTGAAGGCTCTAAATATATATAACAATTCCAGAACTATGAGAAACAATAAATTATCACTAAAAAGCAATAAACCTGGTATTCTTAGAATTTTTCAGGAAGATCTAAATGGGTCAAATTCTCCATTTTCCCTACTTCAGTTTCAAATTTGATTCATATAATTTTAAAAATATTATTTTGGCTTTTCAAAATGGAAAATATCACATTTTAGAAACTCTCTTTACAAAAACTACTTTAATTTTGTGACTAAATACACATGATTCCACACACTTAAGATTTTGAACATTTCATTCTCTATGGAAGAAAGCACTCAAATGATAAAAACAAATGTACTAAATATTTTATTCTATCATAGCAACTAATTATATTACTAGATTTTTGGCAATTTTGAGGAGACAACAAAACTAATTAAAAAGAAAGAAAAAATAATTAAGTACAAGATATTATTGGTTTTACAGCTCATAAAATATGCTAGAAAACAATATTATAAGAAAAATCAAAATAGACAAATTAAGTGTTCAGGAAAAAAAGTACTTTCTTACAAAGAGAGGACTAAAATCTTAAAATGTGTCCAAAACATGAATCTCTAAAGTTGGACTAACTTATAGTTATTTATAAACACTGCTCTATTATATATGAATAGTTTAAAGTGACCACAGTTCTCTCTGGAAAATCTGAATTAAAGCTGCCATTCACTACATTAAAGCTCATGAAATTAAATACACATTTTTGGCAAAATTTAAAATGTGTAAGATAATTTTAGCTTTAAGTTTTGTAATTATTGTTGCTATTCTCTCAGATTACTATTTCTATTTTTAAGGTTCATGATTTAAGTTTAATGCATCTATCATTTCTTATTTAGATTCCTCAGAATGAACAATTTTGAAATATACTGAGTGAATTTGTTCTGTATTTTAAGTCTATAGATGATAAAACTACTAAAGGTGTTGGTGTGCAGTTTGAAGTAAATCAAGATTTATTCTATAATTTGTCACTAAAAGTAACATGTTGATAGACTTGATTTTTAAAAAAAAAATCCTCAAAGATTCTTATTAAACCGTTAAGTTCCAAGTTTTCAATTCTGCAAATATTTCAATAAAAATGACATAAGTGCATAAAAATAGTTTGGAAATATTCTAGAGCTTATATATCATTTATTAATTAGAATGAAAACAGACCGGACAGCTGATGGGACACTGGATAAATAGAGTATCTGATAATTTGAAATGCAGTGCATTATTCAAAATTAAAATCACAACCTAGTTCTAGAAAATACTTTCTTGAATGCATTCCTTATATTACATATCAATTATGCACATAATATTTTGTTGAGTTGAACATTTAGTACAAGTAACTTCTAAAACAAAGTTTATGCCATTTTCACAATGAATTCTAAAATATTTTCAAGTGCTCTAATCATATGGCTATTGATTTTCCTCAAAATAATAGACCTCTAAAAACATAATAATTATTTTAAAGTTACCATAAGTGGTATATTTATTGCTTAATTTATGTTTTTATATGTGTTCCACATATGGGACAGTAGAACAAAATGTGTTAATGAAGATAAAATTTAAAATACCAGCAGGGCACAGTGATTCATGACTGTAATCCCAGATACTTGGAGGCTAATGCAGGAGGATCTCAAGATATTGGCCAGGCTCTGCAATTAGCAGACCTTGTCTCAAAGAAAAAAAAAAAAAAAAAAAAAAAAAAAAAAAAAAAAAAAAAAAAAAAAAAAAAAAAAGGTTGGGGTTTAGCTTGTTATAGAGAACCCCTGGATTCAATTTCTAGCATGGAAAAAAAACTTAAAATATCTAAAATTCAAGGTTAACATTTTTATTTATTGTAAGGCACATGATATTCAAGTCCTACAATGTTATTTCTCAAATCACCAATAAGGGGGTATTGTATTTACACCACAGAAATCTACTCTACTAGCATTAAATATAAAACAAAATAGTAAAGCACATTGTTTGCCAACACTGCAAAGTTTGGTAATATTAAATGTTTGTCTATAACCTATGGGCACAATTTGATTAAATTGTATTTTAGCAAACTGTGTAATATAACACTGCTTTTTAAAGCTAAGTAAGCTTTTTACTTTACCACTTTTAAGCTGCTTCTACAAAAATTATATGGAGCATATAATTATATCTGTACATGATACAAATATACAGCATACTGATATACTACAGGGGTGGGGTTAAGCAATGTGCAAAGGATCTATATTTCACAATGGAGAAAAAACAAAAATAGTCACATTTAAATTTCCAACGTGTGCCACTCTCAAATAGATATCCAACAGAACTGAAAACATAGTCACACAAATCTCATATGCAAATGTTTATAGCAGTATTATTCATAATAGCCAAAAATGGAAATAACCAAAATGTCCATCAACTGATGAATGGATAACCAAATACGGCATATCCATACAATGGAATACTACTTGGTAATAAAAAATAATGAAGTCCCATACATACTATGACATGAATGCCTTGAAAACATTATGCAGAGTGAAAAAAAGCCAGATATAAAAGGCCACACATTGTGAGATCCCACACATATGAAATATTTTGAATAGAAAAACCTAAAAATTGAATTTACAGTTGCCTGTGGGTGAATGGCATGGCAAGTAACTTCTAAAGGGTATAGAATTTCAGTTGTGGGTAATGAAAACATTGGGAAATTGATTGGGCAATGGCTACACAACTCTGAATATACTAAAACAATTAATTTACAAACATTAAATGGGTGAATAGCATGGTGTGTGAATTAAGTATCTTAATAAAGTGGTTTTACTTTTTAATATTACTTTTTTCTTTACTTTTAAAATCACTTTTTTCTTTTATCCCTGAAATTGCTGAAGTTTGAGATCAAACTTTTTGTTTTATATAAAATTACATTCACTTCTAAGTAAAAAGCCATCGAAATGCATTAAAGTGGCTCCCTGTTCCAGTGAAGTTTTTCATGAAGAAAATATTCACCCATAAATGTCTTATTAGAAAGATATGGTTATTCTCTTAATTTCAAAGTTACTTAGCACAAGTGGGAGATCCTAACCATCTGCTAAGATAAAGAATTTGTGAAGGTTGGATTGAGCATAGATTAAACTCAGATGTACCTAAGATATTAAGAGAAGATAAATTTCCTACTGCTAAAACACAGCTATTGATTAGGTTTCCTTACAGGAATACTTAGGGATTCTGGAACAAGACAAAGATCTAACTTAAGTCATCAGCTTTAAGATATTTTGAAAATCTATGTTTCAGAGAAAAAGAGAGAAAATGACTTCTTGAATAAGGTACTTGAAGGTAATTTTTTTTTAACACAATGCCTTTTTTTTTTTTAACCTGGTACTGAGAATTGAACAAGGGTCTTGCCCGTGCTAGGTGAGCACTCTACCGCTGAGCCACAATCCCAGCCCCACTTGAAGGTAATTTAATCTTTGATTTTTGAAAGATAACAATAGCCAACAGAAACTGAGTGGTAGTGAAAAGTAATCAAAAATTAAGGAAAAATATTAAGAGAAAAGAAAATGGTGAAGTAGAGGAAGAATTATAAAAAAAAAATAAGGATAAGAATGGAGGGATAATGAGTGATGTAGGATGTAGGGATAATGAGTGATGTAGTGCATGTGTGTTTGTAGATACATTTTCTACAACACAAAGGAATTTAGTTTTAAATGAATATTTTAAATATTTTTTTTTTCTTTTCTACCGATTAAGAATTAATCCTCAGGGCTGGGGATGTAGCTCAAGCAGTAGCACACTCACCTGGCATGCGCGGGGCGCTGGGTTCGATCCTCAGCACCACATCAAAATAAAATAAAGATGTTGTGTCCACCAAAAACTAAAAAATAAATACTAAAAAAGTCTCTATCTCTCAAAAAAAAAAAAAAGAATTAGTCCTCAGCCTAAACTCCCTCTAAAATTATCCTGCAGTTGTTTCAGTAGCATTAGAGCTATATAATGTTCTCCTTAATTTTCAGTCTAATTATATTAGACTAGAAGCACAGAAGTCCTTGCATTTGACATATGTGGTAATTGTCAAGATAACTATTTGAATCTAACATATTTCAGAAATGTTTAAAAAAACTTTTGCAGAATCAAATCAGAAGATAATGTAAGGTATGACTATTTATACATGATATCTAAATTTTATGTCACTTTAAGACCAATTTAATGAATAAGAAACTACCAACACTTTTGCCATATTCTTTTATAAATGATAACCATAGTTATTATAATGTTAAGATGTAAATATCGAGTTGCTATAGTAAACTACATCTGTTTAAGAATATATAATAACATTTGCACAATTTTTAATTATGTAAATCAGTCCCTTAAAAACAATGTAAATATTCACCATCAAAAGTGCTTACAGAGGAATGTTAACATTCTAGACTTTAAAATCATATTTATTACAAATTAAACAAATCTAGTGTGTTTTGAATTCACTGATACACACATAACATGCAATTACTATATTCATAGATACACACTGTATATGGTAATTCTCTTCCCAGTTAATCTTTTTGGCATTTTTAAATAGAACAAAAACCTTCCTCAGAAAAGTAAAAAGTCTTTATTTAATCTTTACTACTTGTAGCATAATTTCTTCAAATTTTATAAAGATCCACTGTTTTTTCAAGCTTCAAAGATAACATCATGAGATTTTTATTATCACTATTTTTTTCTGGCAAACCTATCACTTCAAATGAGAACAAAATATTTCTATCCTCCTTCCTCACATGGAAAGTTTTAAGGATCTCAGAAAGAACTCTGAATAAATGTGCTAAATAGTTTTGCATAAATCATACACACACATATTTAGTCAAATGGAATACACACAAAGAGAACTATAGAACACAATCTGAGTGATTTAATTTTCAAGTATTTAAAAAATATATACAACAGTTCTTAAAATAATATGCATAAATTCCTATGCAAAATCGCATTGACAAGTCCACTGCTTGCTGTGTTACAAAGAAAGCAACAGTGGAAAAAAAGTTACTTCCAATTTTGAAATATACATTTTTACCATTAAAAATTTGTATCAGTATCCTTATGTACCTTCCCAAGCTGTTCCTATTCTGATATTAAAACATGCACTATAGCACTTTATTTTGGATATAAAAATTCACTGAGTAAACTGAAAACATTAAAAAAAAACTCAAAAAAAACTGAACACACCTTTGAAAAAAATTAAATTTTCAAAAGTTTCCCCCATGAATTTTATTGAACATATCCTCCTTCCCAGAAAATCTTTCCAAGTTATATAAATCAATCTCCTGAGTAATGAAAGATGACTTTGTTTCACTTACAAGATATCATTAAGTAGTCTTCAGAAGTGCTTTTGACATCATCGTCATCATCTTCATCGTCATCATCATCATCATCTTCAGTTTTTATAGTAACTGTAGAACCAGGAACACCACCAGCTGCTTGAATCACAGTTTCTGTATCTGAATTTGTTACAAGAACCTCCTCTGATACCATTGTGGGAGAGTCAACTCCTGAAACACAATCTTGGACCACATGTTCTAAGTGTCCATCAGGACCAGTAACAAGGTCAGCCACAAAAACTTGCTCAGGTACCCTAACGGTTTCTGTAATTAGTTCAGAAGTCAAGATATGATCCCCTTCATCTTCCTCTAAATCTTCTTCAATGGCAACATCAGCTTCAAGTACAGCTTCAGGAACAATCACACCTTCTGTTACTACATCAGTCTCTGTGATGATATCAGGCCCATGGACAACTTCAGCAGCAAGGCCATGATCAAGAGTTATCCCATCATCTGTGACAACATCAGAAACTAATACAGCTTCAGGAACTGAAACAACAATATGGTCTCCATCGATATGTGCAGTACCAGCCATTCCAGCCACTATAATACAAACAATTATCCAAAAAAAGGTAAAGTTATTTTATTAATTAAAAGTACTGTATTTAATATATCAAATGCTATAAAATATTACTTATTAATATCCTTACTAAATATATCATTTAAAAATCACTGACAATTTAATTATAATAAAAATATCACTAACTAGGAATTGGAGTAGAAGTAGGTAAAAAAAAAAGTAAGTAAAATCTAAATAAATATCTAAAAAATCAAATACCTTATTTTTAAGTAAAACATAAAAGTCATAATGACACACCATTATACTCCAATGAAACAGATAAAAAACAGTGATAAAACTAAAGGCTGGTGAAGATGTAGAGAAACTCAATGTCTCATATGTTATTGGTGGAAATGTAAAATGGTAAAAGCAACTCTGGAAAATAGTTGGATAGTTTCATACAAAAGTAAACATGCACTTACCATACACACCAACAATTGCATTCTAGGGCATTTTTCCCCAGAAAACTTTAAAAAACATATGCTTGTTCAATAATTGTACATAAAAATTAACAACTTATAGTAGCTATTACTCATAGTAACAAAAAGCTGGAAATAACCCAATCATCATTTATCAGGTAAACGACTGATTAAACCAATCTGGCATACCCTTTCTGCATAATGCTACTCAACAATAAAATGGTGCAAAATATAATACATTCTACAACCTGAATGATTTTCCAGACAATGATTCTGAGTGAAAAAAGCCATCATAGGCTAGGGTTGTGGCTCTGCAGTACAGTGCTTGCCTAGCACATGTGATGCACTGGGCTCCATTCTCAGCACCACATAAAAATAAATAATGTTATTGTGTTCATTTACAACTAATTTTTTAAAAAAATCATTAAAATTGCCATATATAAGGTATAAATTAAATAACTGGAATAATTGGTATAACTGTCTCAAGTTAATAAAACTTTAGGGATGAAGAACAGATTAATAGTTGCCAAATGTGGTATATGTGTGTGAATAGAACAAGAATAGCATATATATGGTGATGGAACAGTTCTGCATATTCACCATGGTGGTGTTTACAATATCCTATATACGGACTAAAACTGCATAGATACTACACACACACATTCATGTAAAAATGGTGAAAAATGAATGAAGTCTGAAGTTTAGTTAACAGTAATGTACAAATGTTAATTTTCTACTTGTGATATACTACTATGGTTATATAAGATGTCAACATTGGAGAAAGATGAGTAAAGGGAAAATAAAAATAATATGTACTACTTTTCCCTAATTCCTGAGAGTGTATATTTGTTTTCTGAAAATGAAAAGACATGAACAAAAATGTTACTATGTTCAAAAAAGTTAACAAATACATTATGAAATATGTATTATAAACATGACAGTTCCTGAACTATATCTGAAGTGGGAGGCATTATTCAACACCTGATTTAGGGGATCAAAAAACTAAGCATTTTAGACTAAGTTTTGTCTTGATAATAGTAAATCTACAACAGGATCAAAACGTAAATATTCTTCATGAGCAGCAGGGTAAATACCAACTCCACTTGCCTTGTAAATATTGTATAAATGTAAACTCTATCCATGAGGAATCATTACATTCTGCCCCTTAGAGGTGGTACAGTACACAAGATTGTTTGTTGATCTGGTTATAATGAAATTATGTATATCTGATTATAATACCTAATGATCACTTTGTATAAACTATGAGAGAATGCTATTTGCTGTACAATGTTCACTATTGTTAATCAATCCACTATGGAATTTAGTTAACAAGAATGGAGAACAGTTGATACCATGGATAACTCAGCCCATCAAATAATAAAGTAAGAAAGGAATGTTGAGTTCTTGGGAGCATCTTTTTATCTTGAATACATGTCACTACTCTCAAACTCTCACCTAAACCACCAAATTACCTCAGAAGAACACACCATGATCCTGCAAATCTGGTAGACAAAGGGAGTTTGTATAAAACAAATAATTTTATTCACTTATTATTCCACTACATGTTTCAGATACAGGGAGGGAGAGAAGTTTCAAATTTAGCATTCAGTCTGGAAATGTGATGGCTTTTTGCAAGAAAAAAATAATATTATATACACAAAATTCACAGTACTGTAATTCTTACATAGATAATAAAATTACTATTTCATAAAAATCATTTTACAAACCAAAGATTTAAAATGTAGGAAATGTCACTTATTTTAGAGCGTTGCTAGATTAGTTTGTTCCTGAGAGTACATACAAAGAAGCATAGAATAATGCTCAAGCTGACCTGGGTTCTGATTAACTTCACTGGGTAGATTCTAAGGAGATATAATAAATGCCTTTTGTTTAATCTTGTTGTTGTTGTTATTTTAGATTGAACCCAAGGACACTTTACCACTTAGCTACATCCCCAGCGCTTTTTATTTTTTGAGACATGATACTGCTAAATTGCTCAGGCTGGCTTTGAACTTGTGATTCTCCTGCCTCAGCCTTCGGAGTGGCTGGGATTAAGTTCATCAAGCTTCTAGTGGGAGCTTACAAGTAAAAATAAATCAGATCTTAACCAAACTAAATCTAAATATGCTTTTTTACCCTGAACCAAATGATATGAAGGATCTTAGACCAAGAATTGATAAGTCCATCACAGGATTCTAGCATATTACTCAGATAAAGATGTCTTCTATTAAATTTTGCTCTTCCCTCTTTTCAGTTTATCTGTTAGATTTCACTGTATACCTAAATAAAGTCATTTATTAAGCTATACACTAGATATATTCATTATTGACAATGAGCAAAGCAACCAGATAATAGTTTATATATTTTTTCATTTAATTCTCAGAACAAGAGAATAAGATGGGTATTATTATCCTCATATTAAATATGGAGAATCTACAGTTTAGAGAGGCTAAGTACGCTTGCCCAAGGTTCAGTGTAGTAACTGAACTTATTGTGTAACTCCAGACTAGTTATTTTTTTTTTACTTAACTAGGAAGATAAAGCTTATTTACTTAATGTAGAAACTGTTTTAAAAGAAATGTATAGGATTAACCAAGTTGGGCACTACTGAAGAATAGTTTGAGGGAAAAAGTAAAAAAACCTATCACCTAAAAAGTAATTTAAATTTTAAAACACTTAGTAATAGCACTAACTGACATGAAGAATTTACCTTACTAGTAAGGAAAATATAAATGAGAAGAAAAAACAAGTGTGAAATGAATGCCATAACCAAGAAAGATCTAACTTACAGTATTTTCCATTTTACTCAAGTTACTTCATTTAAATGTGAATATCTGGGGCTGGGGTTGTGGCTCGGTGGTAGAGCGCTTGCCTAGCATATGTGAGGCCCTGGGTTCGATCCTCAGCACCACATACGAATAAACAAAATTAAAAATCCATTGGCAACTAAAAAATATTTAAAAAAGTAAATAAATGTGAATATTTGGAGTTTTACCAGCGTGATGGAATAAAATTCGTTATTTGTTGGATCTGTTTTATACTAGTATCTAAGGCTATTTTTCTCTTTAACTTCCAAAGCAATATAGACATTTTGCAATATCAAAATGTTAAAACAGGGGCTGGGTTGTAGCTCAGTGGTAGAGCACTTGCCTAGCACATGTGAGGCCCTGGGTTGTATCCTCAGCACCACATAAAAATAAATTAAAAAATAAAAGTATTGACAACTACAACTAAAAAGTAAATTTTTTTAAAATCTTAAAACAATTATTAAACTGACATACCATAAAAATATCACAATGTCTAAAATTTTAAACCTCAACTACCTTTCAAAAAATTGGTCTAACAATTCTAGATTAATGGTTCAAATTTTCTCTATAGTAGTTATTCCATACTCCTAACCAAGAATGTTATAGAATTTAGAGTTCTTGACATATAGTCTATTTATTTGGCTAGTTCTACTTATATATGCCAATTTTAATGTTTCATAAATATCACTAAATTCATTGGGTTGCAAATATCAAAATTTTGATGCTAACAGAAATTCAAAGTGAATACGTCTAATTCCAAACAAAATGTTAGAATTTAGACAATTTAACAGATTGGTAAACTAAAGCACAGAGGGCTGCTTTAGAAAAAAAAATATAAATTAATAGAATCAAAATTTCCAAAATTCTTCCTAACAAAATTCTCTTTATGAGTATACTCATTTGACACCTTTCCATTTCATAAAATAACATACACTATGTATGAAATTGTGGTCACAACTATATATCAAAAACATAAGAGTTCTTGCCTTCTAAGAGCTTAGAATCTATTTTCCAAGCAAATATGTATGCTTTCATATTAGATCAATATCATCCCTAACCATATATTAGTGGGCTCTACCAATATTAGTTATTATTGATTTAATTGGGAATTAAGAAAAAATACAAAACAATTATATATTAATTATTTATTATATAATTATTATAACAAAATGTAAAAACAATTTAGTTGGCATTGATTTTTATACCTAAATTTAATGAATATGGAATTAAAAAAGAATTAAAAGAATTAAAAAGTGGAATTAAAAGAACATATTCTTTCACAAAAACAATAACCAAAAATACAATTACAGAGTTAAATCACAGAGTATAATAGTAGTAGAAAGCAGTAGCTTCATACTTTTTTCTGCAATAAATAAGCTTAATTTCTCTTTTAAATTCATTTTAGAAGGGGCTTCAAATTATGCTTTGAAATTTCCAATTAAAAACTTGAGTTCTCAAAATTTTCCATTTTATTACTCTTAAAGTAACAAGGGGTCATAAAAGAAAACTTTGTTTTCCAGGCCATAACATTTATGTGACTATGATTGTGTGTAAATATATTTTTGTATGTGTATTCACCCCAGTTCAAATGAAAGGGATACAAAGATGTGTTCACTCTGTGGTTTCAAGTATGCCTTGGCACACTGCCACATGCCTCCAAGGGCACACATCTAAGATGCAAAGCTTTAGGTCTAACAAAACATTGTTCTAATGCACTAAAAGTGTTTCAACAACATAAATTTCTGTCAACAGATGAATGGATATACAAAATGTTGTTTTCCTATACTATGAAATACAATTTGAGAATACAAATGAATGAAGTACTAAAACATGTTACAACATGAATGACACTTGAAGTTATTTTAAGTAAAAGAAAGCCAGACAAAAAGGCCCTATGTTGTATGATTTCATTTATATGAAATATTCAGAATAGGAAAATTCATAGATTAGTGAATGCCTAGTAGTGGTAAAGAGAGAGAAGATGGGGAATAACTGCTGGTGAGTATGAGGGGTTTTAATTTGTTTTTTAGGTAACACAATATTCTAAAATTACTCCAAGGTGATGGTTGCACAATTCTCTGAATATACTAAAAACCACTGAACTGCAAATCTTAAGAGAGGTGAGTAGTATGGTATATGAATCATATCTCAATAAAAATAAAGAAGGAAAAACATGTATAAAATATTAAATAGCATGTTTTACTTCCCTAGCAACTAAAGTAAAATAAAGTATTAATGAAATAATAGATTAATTATATTTCAAGGCACTGAGGATGAACAATGGAAAAGAAAATTAAGAGGAACACCAAATAAATATTCACCAGCATCAATCAGATGATTTTCATTCTTTGGAAGGAAACACATTCTACTTGCTAAAAGGAATATCTTCAAGAATGAAGGGAGTCATGGCAATTTAACAACTGTTACAGATGAGGTTATGTTTTGTATTAAACAGGAAAAATACTATATTAACTTCCATTTTTAAAATATCCATTTTAAATAGTAAAAAAGTGGAGTTGACATTTCAACCAAAAGTTGCTTATATTGAAATTAAAGTCTTACAGTGTGCTGAAAACTATCACCTTTTGAGCCAAGAATTCATAAGGCCACATATAAATCTCTTATTTTTTAGCCATGTTGTATTTCTTGTACAATTTATTTTGTACATGTTTCCATGCCAAATAATTTCTAACTCAACACAATTCATTTATCTTTTAGGAGAATAAGTTCATGACTCCTTTCTTTTTTTTTTAAATATTTATTTATTTATTTATTTATTTTTAGTTCTCGGCAGACACAACATCTTTGTTGGTATGTGGTGCTGAGGATCGAACCCGGGCCGCACGCATGCCAGGCGAGCATGCTACGGCTTGAGCCACACCCCCAGCCCCTTCATGACTCCTTTCTATATCATCAATTAACTACACAGGCATTCCAATCCTTACCATATTCAAACTTAATGTACCCAAGTTTACTCAGGCTTACAGAAGTGTCAAAGAATCATAGAACTAGAGAGTATCTTAATGTTCTTTAGTCTAACCCACTCTTAAAAGTGAATTCAGTTATTTAGCCAAGTTCACACACCTAATAAACAGAACCTCCATGTCTAGAATCCACTTATTACTCTGGGCTTTTCAATATGGAACCAAATGACATATTCAATGACATTTTCCAAAAATAGTAGTATCATTTTCTTAATTAAGCCAAGTATCATGGGTTCCAGTTCTCTATCAGTAATTTCAGTTTTAAAAACTCTGTTATCACATGTTTTCTGTTTACCTATTATCCTGATTTACCATTTGTCTTTTCTGCTTTTACTCAGATCTTGAGTTTTTATGATTACTTTCCTGCTTTTTTTATTTCAGATATTTCTATCTTCTCTGTAATTCAGACCAACCAACCCTGCCTGAATTCAGTTTTTTTGTTGACTATCAATAGAGTTTTAGCATCTCTATCAAAATGACTACTTTTTAGAGGTTACTAAAACACTTAACCACAAAAGTAGGGAGTTTTTTTCTTTAAAAAGAAAAAATGTGGGGCTGGGGATGTGGCTCAAGCGGTAGCACACTCGCCTGGCATGCATGCGACCCGGGTTCGATCCTCAGCACCACATACAAACAAAGATGTTGTGTCTGCCAAAAACTAAAAAATAAATATTAAAATTCTCTCTCTCTCTCATCTCTCTCTCTCTAAAAAACAAAAAAGAAAAGAAAAATGTGGGGCTGGGGTGGGGGCTCAGTGGTAGGTTGCTTGCCTGGCACATGTGAGGTACTGAGTTTGATCCTCAGCAAAACATAAAAATAAATAAATAAAATAAAGATATTGTGTCAATCTACAACTAAGAAATATTTAAAAAAAAGAAAAATGCATGTTATTAATAACAACTTTCTCAGGAAAAAGCATCAGAATAAAAATAATTACCAAGTCCATGATTTTTATCTCTATCACTTTATAAGCACCTAACTACTTTGAATTGAAGAAAATACTTCCTTTTCCAGCTTTATTAGAAAACCAATTTAAAATTTCCTACATGTGGGAATTTTTATATTCACACATACACACACACATATTCATAATATGACATAATTATGTACTTACTAATGTGCAACCTAAGCTTTTCATTTCCAGTAACATATTATCTCTATATTCCAAGTTTCCTTACTTCAATCCTCCCACAAACTACAAGAATGATTTAAATATACCACTGATACATAGCTTATTTAAAGCCAATAAGCTCTATAATTTTATTTTCCTAGTAAGAGAATAATTTTTCATTGTTAATTCTTCCCTTCTTTAATTTCTTTTTTGGTATTTAGTATGTTCTTACTTTTTAAAAATATAAAAATACAACAAAGAAAATGCTTTACCAAAATCCTGCATAATCATGGTATGGGCCATTCTAGAGTCTGATGTATGCAATCCAAGACTTCCACCACCTGAATCCATACTTAGCAAAGTTCACTCAAAAATATCTGTAAAAGAAATGGTTTTAAAAATAGTTTAAATACATTTAGCCCAAGTCAGTTGTTATGGCAAAAAAAAAAAAAAAAAACGGCAATTGAAAATATGCTTCTCAACCAGGTGTGCAAAGCTTATTACAAAACAAACAAAAACAAACAAAAATCCTCAAAACCTGATTAGATGGTTTACATGATGACCATAATTAAAAGAAGGGGTAGGTAGTGAAGTAAACCAAAGATTATGGAGAATTAGGACAGTAAAGGTGATGAGGCAGAGAGAAGTGATAGAAGCAACCAAAAGAACAAAACTGCAGCACTGAGATTAAGGTTAAAATATAGGTTATAAAAGAAGAAAAAGAACAAGATGAAAACGGACAATAGTTGGGATATTTATACATTACTAGAGGACTCAGATGTCTAGTATTAGTGAATTTCATCCAGTAGCTCTCATCCATTTCTTCCAGACCCAGATCAGCCCTGGAGCGGAGCTCTGCAGATTGTATTCACCTCTGGCTCCTGGGGTTCTACTTATAATGTAAATGTTTTATCCCAGTTTCCCTGGAGTTCTTTGAACCAGTAAGGACTTCTGGCCTCACTCTACTACATTCTCTTGTCTCACAGTTTTGAGGACTCGTGAAACATGACTGCTTCCTAAATATGGTAAACATAAGATCAATCACATACAAACATTTAGCAAAGTGTTTCAGCATATCATTTGTAATTATACAACTGATTTTTTTCAGTAATGATTAATAAAATAATGCTAGCCACATGGTGGTTTTGAAACCAAAGGCTCAACTTATTTCATTTCAAATAATTTATCATATATTTAAGAACATCAGATAGTAAGAAACAGAAAGCCAAATGCCATCACTCAACCTATTTCTTATAATTACTTATGTGAATTTCCCTTTCAAATGTAAGATCCTAAGTAAAACAAAGTATCAATTTCATAAGGAATTTATCACATTTTCAATTAGAAGTATTCACTACTTTGGGATATACTTCACAAAAGATGAGGTTACGGAAAATCAAAGTTTTACAAAGTTGTCCTGTAAAACAAAATCTTTTCTTAGATCCTCAGAGATTGCTAAGTTGTCTTTTTTTTCCCCCTTTGTGTTAAGGCTCTAGAGATACAAAAGAGGTAGAAGAACCTCTCTGGGTAACTCCTTAGCAACATTTGAGTTATATACAATGTATGTATAAATATGCTACAGCAATGAGTGACATTTCCATTTATCAAAGGATTCAGATAAAATTACTTTGTCTATACCTGAACAAAATTACCTAATTTTAGAAATTCTTAGCTTTTTAAAATTCTTTTTTCAAACATCAAGTCATTTTCAACCTTTCTGCTAAGCAAATGAGGTCAAGAGGCCAAGAGAGTTCTGAATAAATTATCTGTACGTTCATAAAATAAATTAAAATGCAATAACGACTTGTTTTTAACACTTAAAACAGTGTACTATTTGGTTTTTAATTTGATTAATTGCTCTCTTTATATGTAACTAACAGAACAATTATAAATGCCTTAAATTTTAGTTTAATTGTTAAATAAAATATTAAATAATTTGTTAATCACCTTTATACGATTGCCTTGAAGAAACTGTAGATTTTCTTATCACATTGTAAAGTAAAATCTGCAGCAATTTCTCTTTAGTTTTCCTTCTGAACTATGTTATTTTCTTTGGGAAAATGTTCTTTTTACCTATTGTAAAGATATATTCAAAATTAGATATTTTAAAACATTTTAAACCAAAACCCTTACACAACTTAGGAATGTTTTTCTTTACACTTCAACTTTCAGTATGAGGTTGGGAAGAGCTCATATGCTTAAATCTGTGTTTATCCAAAAAGCAATCAAAGAGATGCCAACAGAAATAACTATCTACTGCAACATGTGCATTGTTATTACACTTACAATTTGATTAAATTGATTAAACACTTGATTAAACCAATATCTTCTCCAAAATGTATTTTAAAAACCACTAGGAACACATTATTTTGAAAAGAGAACCAAGAGCAAGGTTTATCCTTGTAAATCCATACAAAAATATCCACCCTAGTACTCAATTGAAGTGTAAAAATCACAACACATAATTCAACTACTTATGAGAAGTATCACACTGTATGAATACTAAATAAATTAGTGCACCGTTTTTCCCATATAGGAAGTTTCAATTAGATCAATAATAAATGAAGCAAGAGAACAGCAGTTTGTTAAGCATTCAATAACTAGTAGATAGCTAGATTTCTCAGTCTTCTCTAGAGTGTATCTCAAAATTCTCACAGTATGGAGGTAACACCAAGTATGCTTCAAGTAAATATCTTTCCATCAATGCATGAGGAACGAAAATAGAATTTTACTCCCATATGTCTCCTCTAAACATAGCTCATTCAGGACCAAGCTTCTCAGTGTTGTCAATAGGGTGAAGCACAGAAGAGAAATGATAAGGCGGCAGAGCAAGAGAATGCGAAAGTAGTATTTGCAGATAGGAGACAAAGGAACCCTGGCAAGTAGCAGTATTGCAGCTTTGGACGCAGCCCTCTTCCCGCATAAGTCTCCCTTTCCCACGACCATGCCAAGTTTCAATCATTTCAAGCAGAACGCATACACGTGCCCTTTCGGATATTACCCATCAGTCTTGGATCTTAAACCGAAGGAGACAACCTTCGCCCTGGAAATGAAGAGACCGACGAGACAAGAATATCTTTTCCTCCCCTCCTCCTTCTTCTCACTTGGCGCAGCGGTCGCCACCGACACTACCCACGCCGTGCTGCCCAGCTCCTCAGCCTCCTCCCGCTCCCTCTGCCCTGCTACGTGGGAGACGGCTGGGAACCAAAATGGTGGTGTTTTAGTGGAGGCGACAGTTGCCGCACACAGCACCCCCCTCGCGGGCTGTGAAGGCTCTCTACTCCCTATTCCCTAAAATGCCCGATTGAGTGCCACTTCCTCTCAAATGCTGCTATCCCTCACGCATTCCAAAGGTCACCAGCAGCCTGGGCAGGGGACAGAAGCGACACTGGGGGGGGGGGACTGAAAGGAACATGGTGGGGGGTCGCTGAGAGAAAAATGTCAAGGGGACGCCGCATTCTTCACTTCATCGTTTTGTTTTCCGCCATTTTCCCGTCACCCTAAACCACCGACGGCCTCAACGACGGCTTTAGTTCTCTGAGGCTCTGGCCTAGGGTAAGAAGAGATTGGCTGTGTGTTTATATGTGTGTCGTGGGGTTGGGGGGGGACCCCTGCTTTCTTCAAATTCTCCAGCCCCTGCCTGCCGCTGGGAAGACTGTTCGCATGAGGGTGAGGAAAGCCTAGGGACTAGACGCCACTTCCATTGTTCCCTTCTCCCTACACTGTATACTGGGTGTGAGCTTCTCCTCCCCTCACACAAGAGGCACTGAACACGGCGGACCCGGGTCCCTCTAGTTTCTCCTCAGTAGTCTCCTTACCTGCGGCTGCCGCCACCGCCAACGCCGCCGCCGCCGCCGCCAGTCGGACTAGGACCGTGATGTAGATTGCTGCGGGGGGCGGCAGCTGTGGATCCGTAAGGTCCTCACATTAAGGTTTCCGAGGTTCCGCAGCCTGAGCCAATCACAAGCTACTCTGCGACTGGGAGGCGCGTCGCCTTGTTCTCCTTTATATCGCTGCTGACATGCTGAGGTTGCATTACGTCACGCTACCCTTGCTGCAGGGTAGGGGGCCATGGAGGGAGCGCGCGCAGGCGCGCGCGCGCGCGGGAGATTGAAGAGCCCGCGCTCGGTTTGTGCTTGGAGACCCCGCGGACTTGCCGCGGGGGATGCAGCGCTGGTCGAATCCAAATGCGCAAGCCCAGATCTTGGCGCGCCCCTGAGGAGTTTCTGTGGCAGGATTTTCCGTTTTCCAGGTTTCCCAAGGGAGATGAAGAGGGTGGGGAGGGGAAAATCAATGACAGAATGACCACTCCTTGAACCTTTAATAGATATTGGATGGCGTTAAAAAAAAAAAAATGGTCCAACCCTCGAGGATTTGACAAATCAGGCTGACCAGACCAGAGATAAGAGGTGTTCATATCTACCAAAAAAAAAAAAAGAAAAGAAAAAAGAAAGAAAGAAAAGAAAACTGTGTTTTGCTGTTTCCCTTCCTCTTTCCCTTCATTCCTTTTATGTTTCCTAATGGTAGACAGTAATGAAGAAAGTAGACTTAAAAGCAAGGAAGGGAAAGGAGGACGAGGGACCTAAATGCAGTGAACACTAAATATTTCTTGAACGTGTCACTTTCAGTTTTTGTCAACATATGGAGAACAGTGAGAAATTGTGTGGAGGAGGGGTGGAGAAAAGAGTGAAGAGATATGACTGAAAGGTTGGTAGGGACTAGGTTGCATTTGTAAATTATCTTTTATTCTGACAATTTATATTCAATTCTAGAATCATATTGAAATTGATAGCAGTATTTTAGTGGGGAAAGGATACAATCCTTTAAGAGGAACTCATTACCTGTGTATAAATAATTTGAATATTTAGAAATAAAATATGTTATTATTGTGGATTATCTAGAAGACAAAATGTGAAAGCACTAGTACAAGATCTGTCTCATATCAGTACAGGAGGTAATAAACTTTAAATGGCCAGGCAGCAAATGTTTTAATTTTGTAAATATATAGTAACAAGTAATTTTTAAATGGGCGGGGGGCGGGGGGGAGGATAGTATCCTGGACCTCACACGCTGCATAAGTGCTCTACCGCTGGGCTAGCCTAGTAAAATACCACTACTATCCTAGTAAAATATCCTTATCACAACTACTCTACTCTGCCATAGTAGGCTCAAAGCAGCCATAGATGATATATACAAGTGAGTATGGCTGTTATACAATAGAATTTTATTCATGAACACTAACATTAGGATTTTATTTCATGTTTTTGTGTCATTAAAATTATTCTTCCTTGAAGTTTTTTTAACTATTTGAAACTGTAAAAAACATTCTTAGTTACAGGCCATAAAAAAAAAGAAACAAACAAACAAACCAGGTAGCAGTACATATGTGGTGTGTGGACCATAGTTTTACCATTCTAGTAGCTGTCATTCATTTATACTTTTATTTTCCTTCCTAGATGAAGAAAGGTATTTTATGAGTTTATTCCCATGCATGAAATGTATTTCCATATTTTATATCCTGGCAAACACTACTTAATGGTCTTCTCCTATATCACTCTGCTAAGTAGTCCCTCTGTGTTCCTATACTCCTAGTGACAATTCCAACAGATAGCTAAGAAAAGAAAGTTGTAGAGTTTTTATATAAAACATCTTTGTGAATTTTACACTGTGGTAGATAATTTTTAAAACTTGAAGATCATCCTTTCTCTTTTTTCTCTCCAAACATCTGGTCATTCAAAATATCCTGAGAATTCTACTTCCCTAATATCTGTGTGATTGAACATTTCCCCCACTTCCTAATATTATTACTTTGTTCAGATTCACTAACAATTTTAGGGTATTGATTTAACATTCAAGCAGCCATCTTAATGTTAATCACCATCTTATGTTTCCTTTTCCTATGCTTACCGAACTACCCCCACCCCCATTATTGACCTACCCCATGGTACCATAACCCTAAGCCAATCCCAAAAGGACAGGACCCCTTTGCTCTGGAAAGCCCTACTGTACCATCCACCTAAGGCAAATTGCAAATCCTTTGCTATACCCCCACCTGCCTAGCTCTGATGCAAGCACCCCAGCCTATCCCGTAACACCACAACTCCAACTCCAAAACCCTACTCTACAAAAGCTGAAAACCCGAACATCTTGGGGCCTCTCTCTCCTGTAGAGAGATGGCCTTTATTTGTCAGCTTTATTTGTATCTTTATTTGTATCTCTGCCTGGTCTCTGTCTTTCATTATCTTTAATTTCTCGCTCGCCCATCTCTTGCTTTCCCTTCACACATTCTTTCTTACCTTCATTATTATAGCACTCTGCTAACCCTCTGTGTTCCTATATTCAAAAAAATGCCAAAATTTTAAAAATATCACCAAATCAGAAAAATATCTCAAATTGAGCTTCCCCATTCCTTTCTCACTTCAGTTGAGGCTCTGGACAAATCTGACTGTTATAATCTCTTCTGACTCATATCTTTCCTAAAAGTCTCTCTACTCCACTTGATATCTCTTTTTTTTCTTTTCTTTCTTTTTTCTTTACTTTTTAAAATATTTTTATTAGTTGTTGATGAACCTTTACTTATTTACTTATTTACATATGGTGTTGAGAATTGAAACCAGTGCCTCACACATGCCAAGCAAATGCTCTACCACTGAGCCACAACCCCAGCCTCTCTTTTTCTTTTTTTAAATTTAATTTTTAATTTGTTTTAGTTACTTATAAATGACAGTAGAATGCATTTTGACACATTGTACACAAATGGAGCACAACTTCTACTTCCTCTGGCTGAACATGGTGCAGAATCACACTGGTAGCATAACCATACATGTATATAGGATAATAATGTTAATAATGTCCGTCTCATTTCACTGTCCTTCCCATCGAGGCAACCCCTCCCCTCCCTGTACTCCCCTCTGCACAATCCAAAGTTCCTTCATTCTTCCCTACTCCTTCCATTATGGATTAATATCTGCTTACCAGAGAAAACATTCCAGGCCTTTGGTTTTTGGGGTTTGGCTTATCTTGCTTAGCAGCTCCATTCATTTTCCACTTAATATCTTTTGCAGTGTAGAATCTACAGCAACACAGAGTTAACTTGTATAACAAGATTAATATCTCACTACTCTGCTTAAACTTTGCTGTCAATTGCTATTAGATCTCATGGCACCTAAGTAAGGACAGGATAGTTATAATTCTAGCTAGCAACAGTGGGGAAGACCATTCACACATGCCTTTTGGGTATTTGTTCAATATGTATAGGAAACTAACTACCTTATGGAAAAACTATTAAGCAAGGCAGTTTATGCTATTTTAAGAATAGTGCTGTTTTATATCCATGCTTTAGAATTTCTGCAGTTGCACAGTAGCTACAAGACCAATAATATTAATAAGGTGCTATAAATCAATTTAATTTATAGTTTTCTTGGTTTTGTAACTTGATACCTTCATCCCCTCTACTTCTCTTTTCGAATCTTAGCCAACTAAAAGTTGTGTATTATGGGACATTTAGACACCAAATACTGTTAGCTCTTCTTCCTTATATTGTTACCAGATGGAGATTTTCCTCAACTCCTGTCTTTATGAAACAAAGATTTGTCAAGAGACACACTTAGAAAAAACATAAAGAGTTTTTTTTAGTGAGATGAAAATAAGCTCAGACATAGAGCAGGCCTCCTCCAAGAGGGGAAGGGATATGGGGTTTCCTGCCAGGCAAGTCTTTAAATTTTGTCTGGGACCCTCCCCCATACATTATGAATGTGGGTTGGGGTTATTACAGTTTCCTGCCATGACTTAGTGCTGCACCTGTGCCAATTTCGCTACAATGTAAAATTTCCAGCATAGACTTCAGCCATTTTCTCCAAGTTGACCAATAGCTATCTGGCCACAAGAAAGCAGTCCCTCAGAAGTGCAACATTCAGATGGGTGCCAGCCAGGGACAGAGCCTGAATTTCCTTTCCCCACTTCCCTTACTCATGTCTATCTAGGCACCTATTCTAACATGACTATGGAGTCACAGTTTATCATCAACTATACTAAATTTTATCTCAGCTTCCTCTATGAAAACTTTCCCTCCTTCTTACTTTCTCTGTAGTCTTCACGACTCGTAAGAAGATAATCCAAAATAAATGTAGACCACCTTATTACTGAATACAGTTTTACAGTACCAATACTCACATTTGTATTTGTATTTACAGGCACACTATCACCAGACAGTACTGATTTAATTGTCCTGGGATGATTTGAAATAAAGGCATCAGACTTCATTTGTAAATTATATGGTTCCACCAGGTGTGCTGTACAGAATATAATTTCTTCATAGAGTGGTGGGGGAAGTGAGTCATCCCATAGCATACAATAAGGAAAGCCACAATCAATATGCCATCGCAGAGTCATATTCATGTGGTGAGCTGCATTTTTGTTTCAGCAAAATAATATAATATATAATATTAAATTAATACTGTTAATTTATTAGTTTTGCTATTTATTGTTTGGTTTTATAATTGTAAAAACATCATAAGCCCAAAGCATATCTACATTGCTCTACTGTTGTTCTTGTTTAAATAAAAGTATAAAAAATTTAATTTAAGTTACCACTGAAGAATACAGTTTTTCCTTAAAATAGTCCATAATAAAAAATATAAAATGACACACAAAAGCCTGTAAATATCATCCCATACAAAAAGTACCAGAACTCCTTGGGGGAAATAGCTAATTCCAGAATTCAGGTAAGAAATAAATATGATGAGAGTGTGTCATTTTGTTGTCAGAGAGCAAAGAAACCATTAAGACTAATGTGATCATGGCCAAAGTATACTTAATCATAAAAATAACAGTTCCTTGGAATGATGGCAACATATCAAATATATAAAAATTATGAGCTGAGTAAGGATAAATACTAGAGAAAT